TGAAGATTTGTTCTAAATCAGAACGACCAGAATTTGCACCTGAAACACCAAACTGTTAAATTGAATTAGTTAAACAATGCATGAATTCAGATCCATTGAAACGACCTTCTGTTAAAGACATTTTTTTAACACTTTTCCAATGGGAACGCATTGTAAATTCTGAATTGTCCGATAAAGCGAAAGGATTTTTACACAAAATATAAGTTTTTTGACTGCCAATGAAACATAAAATCATTGCCAGTCAACTTACAAGAGCATCAAAATGACCATGACAAGTTTATTAACAAAATAATTAACACAAGACGAACTGTTGACATTTATAATTTTTTATTATATTCAGATTATAATTCAAATATGCAATTTGAATTATTCGATACAGATACGCAATTTGAATCATTCGATACAGATACGCAATTTGAATTATTCGATATTATTAGAATATTTAATTATTTTTTCTTATTACTATTTATTTTTCTTATTATTTTGTTATTATGGTTATTATTATTTCCTTTCGTTATTGCGTAATCTCTCCGCGCATTATTTAGTATCGCGAGAATATTTATCGCGTTGGGCATGGTTACTTATCGCTTAAGGTGTATAAAGTAAAGGCTAGGACGAGGCTGGAGTCTATTATAAAATGAATTTAAGGCGGTGAATTTATCATGAAACGCAAAATTGCACGATAAACAAGCGCCATATAAGAAGGACTATAATTTAAAATGTTTTATATACAGTATAAATCGAAAGTATAAAAAGGCCTTAATTGCTTTTGACAGAAAGCGTACTGTACTGTAATTCCCCAAAAGTAATTAAGAGAATTCTTTGATATTAAATAAACTTTCTTTTAATAAATCTTTATTACCGTAATCGAACGAATTGAATTCATAATCTAATTTTACTTTTAATTCTGTAATTACTATCATTAGTATTTTAACTATCAGAACCGAACCTCATTATTGTAAATTTAAAAAAAATTTTCAGTGTATTTCCTAGCTTTTTTTTTTTCAGAGTTAGATTAGAAAAGAGTATAAATAGATTTAGGTGGGATTTATATTTTCTAAAAGAGATACTAAATTTCATAATAATTCGCGACATCAATTATTTACTCTCACCAATTTGATAGTATTATTTGATATCGAATGTGATATTCTTTTAAATCATTTTTCAATTCTTCTATTTTAAATAAAAAAAATATCGTTACGATTCAATTAGTAAGTTCTATATTAAGAACATAATTTTCGTATAAACGATGGAGATCTCGAGAGATCTAAAGTTTCATCAACTTTTATTAAAAGAGATTCTTCTGACAATATTGGTATGTAATACAAAAGTTATTACATTAAATATTGGCTTTTTAAAGCGAAACCATAATAAAAATCAATAGAACTTCACGCGAGCAAGTCATAACGATGTAAAGATGATCGAAACTATTAAATGGTGTCGCCAATCGGAATTTTTATTATTGATCGCCAATAATCATGTGGTTGAACATAAAATTGATTATATAATGTCTGAAATTCAATTTTAAATTTTGTTGCGGGCCTGAAAATCAACTTGCAGAATAACGAAATTTGGTTGCGTGATAAAGAAAATTTTGATTGCGTTATATACGCAATTTTGCAAAATTTATATGCGGAAACTACATACAAATTTCAGGTTTTAGTTGCGAAAAATTTAAAAATTGTTGCAAGCTTCGCAACCCAATTTCAGTACAATGCATCGAATTTTAGAATTTTATTCTGGTATTGGTGGCATGGTTATTAATTCATTTTAATTTCTAAATATTAGTCAATGTTTCATATTATCTAGAAATTAATTATGATAATTTTTTTTTTAGCACTATGCATTTAAAGAATCTGGCATTATAGGTGAAGTCGTTGCTGCATTTGATATTAATACAACGGCGAATATTATATATAGACATAATTTTGAAAAAAATGTAACGTCTTCGATAGTTCATCAGGTAATTGTTTTACTTTAACTCAATTATTCTTCCCTTAAAATAATAATATTAATCAATTGTTCTTCCCTTAAAATAATAATATAAATTAATTATTCTTTCCTTAAAATAATAATATGAATCATAATTTATTACCTTTTCAAAAATAAAGCGAAACATAGAATCAATACCATTAGAATACTATGATTCTTATAAAGCAAACATATGGTTAATGTCTCCACCATGTCAACCATACACACGAACAGGACTACTTCGAGGATCCAAAGATATTCGTTCAAAATCTTTTATTTATCTGCTTGATCTATTGGCTAAAATGAAAAATCCTCCGACTTATATATTAATAGAAAATGTTAAAGGGTTTGAGGTAAGAGATGAATGAATTCTACCTGTATCTGAATTTTTACGATATTTTATTGATATTGATTAATTAAAATAGGAATCAGAGACTCGAACGACTTTGATAAAACAATTAATTAATTGTAATTACAATTATCAAGAATTTTTTATTACACCATTACAATTAGGAATTCCTAACTCAAGATTAAGATATTATATGCTAGTATGTTAAGTATCTAGTTTATTTGAAATTTTTTTTTTTTCGAATTCTACTGACTGAATCTTGAAAATTGATAGGCAAAAAAACAACCATTAGTATTCAAAAATTCAGAAAATTCTAAAATATTGAATTATATTCCTTGTTCATTATATGATCAAGATTTTGTTGACATTCGAAATACAAAAAAATCTAAATTATTTGATGAAAATATTATTGACTCTAAATTAAAAATTGCACCTATAGAAAAATATTTGATGATTATTAATGATGATGATGATCGATATTCTATACCTGATAAGGTACATTAAATTTATTATTTTTATGACTTATTGGAATATTGTCTAAACCTTATTATGATTGAATTTGCTAGATTTTACTTAAATATGGAAAATTATTTGGTAATTTTATTATTCAAACTTATAATGATGTTATATTAAATTATTAGTCTAAAAATATAATTATAATTACAGACATAGTACAACCATCATCAATTAGAAGTTGTTGCTTTACGAAAGGTTATTATCATTATGTGGAAGCTACTGGTTCTATTTTGCAAATGAATGAAGAATTAGATGTAATTTATTTTCATTTTTTTTTTTTATTTGTATCTATTTACCTTTGTTTCAAATTATTTGCTAATATTAAGTCATTTAAATAAAAGGCATTTCAATTATTTAGGCAACAATTATCAAACAATGACATGTTGGCATCACTATCCTTATTAAAACTTAGATACTTTACTGAACAAGAAATTTCAAAAATTATGGGATTCCCAGAAGAGTTCTTATTCCCAGATAAAATTACATTAAAACAAAGATATAGAGTTTTAGGAAATAGTATAAACGTTAAAGTTGTTTCGGAATTAATAAAGTATTTATTGTTAGATTAAATAATTAGTTTTAAATTTAATAATTCTTGTTAGTTAGTAATAAATATTTATTTACATTATCGTAAAATTGAGGTTTTTTAAACTTTAGAAATTGTATCAATCTGCAAGATTATTAAAAAAATTAAAAATATGTGTAAAATCTGGTAATAGTAATAACAAAGTATTTCCTGAAGTTTTTGATCATTTTGCAACGGTATATAATCATTTCCCCGACAGCTATTTGACCGACACCAGTATTGCAAAAACCTAATATTGACAAAAATAGATTATTGTAAATTTAAAATCCGTAATAAAATTCTAAAATGTACCAAAGTTATAAAATTAAATGAATTTTTAAAATGCTATCGAGTATATTGTTTTGAATTTAAATCATTTTTAACGTTAAGTTAATATATATATTCGTAGTTCCATTTTTTTCTATTTTTAATTTGTCTCTCTATAAATGATCAAGAAAGTTCAGGACGAAAATAAAAGTCAAACAAATAATTAAAAGGCCAGAATTGATCGCTCCCTTTTAAATGTTAAAATAAATTTCTGAAATCTCAAATATATTAAAATAAGATAAATGTCAGAGTTCTTTCGCGTGGTAAGTATAAAATAGCAGTAGATGCCAGGGAAATATTATAGCAAAATAGGTCATGACTACTAAAATGTGATAAATAATAACTTAATTACTGGTCAATGCTCAGGAAGCCTGCATAAACTTATCTCATGAAATTATTTAACGTTAAAGGGTACTAGGTAATTAATTCGGGAGTAGATGCAGGTGAATCAAGTTGTCGATGTTTTGTGGGTTTATTAACAGTT